TGTGTATGTAGACTTGTGTACATAGGTCTGTGTACGTGGGTCTGTATGTAGGTCTGTGTACATAGGTCTGTGTACGTCCGTCTGTGTCCATGGACCTGTCTGCTTATGTTTGTTCTCAAAAGATTTCTACACTTAGGCTCTGTGTACATATATGTAGGTCTATGAAAACAATCATTAAGTCAAGAAGGTGATTATGAGACTCCTATTGTGTGTTAACAACTGTGTTTTGATCTTCATTATAACAATTCTTACACCTTCACTGAAACACCGTCTCTCAAATGAAGCTGAACTTGTTGTTTTGGTGAGGAAGTCGCACCGCTGGGGTGAAGACTAACGACGTGGTCGATGTTTATGTGTTGGGAGTTGTAGTCTCTCTCTCTCTCTCTCTCTATCTCTCTCTCTCTCTCTCTCTCTCTCCTAAAACACAGTTGTCTTAACACCATCAAGGAGTCAAGGGCTTCAACGTGTCTTTATAACCATATCAAAACGTCTTTCCTTAGTATGTTATAAACAACAGGCTTTCCTCGTGCATTTAATAGATTAAGGTAAAAGTGTTGACAGTTTCCACACATTGAGGTCGGTCCCAGAGCAAGGATGTCACCTAGCTTGACCTAGTCAGTGGTCCTAGAACAAGAGTGTCATCCACCTTGACCAATCAGCGGCAAGAAAATTTGACGTTGACTCCTCCCACTTGCTCAGCAAAGGCGAATCAAACACAAGGTGGATATCTCCAATGAATTTCTCGATATGCCTCTACTAGCTTTATCATTGGTGCAGAAATCCTCCAATGGGACCTACCTCACACGAATAAAAGAAGTAGATTTAGATTTTAAGGGGCAGGAGTAAACAAAGGTGTGTGTACAGCACGAAATAAAATGATAAACAGTATACAGAACAGTTTCCCCTTATGTGTTGTAATCGTTTGAGTGTGTGTGTATTGTGTACATGTGTCTGTTTCTTTGCGACTGAAGGAATGTATGCATAATGGGTGTGTTTGTGTGTATGGAAATAACTTTTGTACATGTGTGTGTTTGTGGTTACAACCTTTTTGTGTACTTGTGGGTGTACACTCGTGTGTGTATGTACAGTATGTATACAGTCAAATATGTACAGACTAGACAAAGAACTTTTTTCCCTCTCTCTCCACCACCTCTAGCCTTAACCAGAACAATACTTAAGATACGTTTATGTGTTTTTTTAGTACCGTCAAATTTGAGTCTCATTAGAGTTTTACGATGACAGACAACATCATGTTAAGGTAGAGTCTCAGTGGTAATTTAGGCGCCATTTTGTTCTCCGCCTTTTGTTCTCGTAACTGAAAGGTAACAGCCAGTTAGATATTAATTTCCTAGATATAATGATAGTCTTGTTGATTACTGAGGCACTGACAGTCTTGTGACGGAGCTGAGTGCTTCTGTTTACTTCCTGCAGTCCTTGTTAGTTAGGGCAATTTAACTGTAGTTTTATTTGATTATTCTCTCCTATTTACTTGTCTTCAGGTGTAAAGATTATTGAGAAATATATATATATACTTATCTATCACACTCTAATTCTGCCTACCTGTTTATATATACCTGTATTACACCATACTGCATACAAGGTTTTCCTTGGTAGACGGTAAGTTATCGGGGAACACCTACAGCCACCCGTACCCTCGTCAACCAGGAGTAACGAGGCAGCTGGTCATCCACCGTAGCACCAACTCCACTTCCCTACGTCTGTACAAGCATCCAACTGAATCTTCTCACAAATTATCATATATTAATACTCTCATACGTCACCTTCAGTCGTGCTGCTTCTGAGGTACTAATTCTTATCCAGTTGTTTGAGTATTTACCTGCGCTTGTTGGGGTCGGTGGAGGCGTGGCTAGCCTGTCCCCTCTCCCATACCCACCCGGATACAAACACCGCTGGGTCAGTCAGTAGTAGACTCAGTGGCTGGTGTGATCTCAGTGCTTGTGTGTGTGTGTGTGTGTGTGATGGTCCTGCTACGACTCTTCTGGATTACGTCAGTACATACAACTGCTTGATGACTCTGGCTCTCCTTACGTCATCCAGGTCTTTGTTTTCTGTTTCAGGCGAGTTTATTATTTGTTAACATGTCCAGGAGCTACAGGGTTGTTATATTGTGTTTCTTTGTAGTTTGTGATATAAAGAATCGTTCGGGTATTGCCTGAACTGTTCCCTTGAGTGGTGATGATGGGTAAGAGATCGTTATTTCTCTGGCTCGTGTCCTCTTTACGCGTTGTATATTTTATTTACTCAGTTTAATAATTAGGTTTTATGTGCATCTTTTCTTTCCACTTGTTATCACATATTTATCTTTTGTTTTGTTTTCAGTTGTCATAATAGAGTTTTGGTAATTCACGTTGTTGTAGTTAAGTTGTGGTTGCTTTAATTTAAAGATATTGTAGGAATTCGTGGTATAATGTTGTCTCGCACTCAGGATGGATGGAAACTCTAAGGTGGTTTTCTTGTATAATATAAGTTATATGATAGACAGTCTGGTGCTGGAGGTGCCGTGTGGTGAGGAGCTGCTCAGTAGAGACGTTCGGTGAGTAGCGTGTTGAAGGAGGTAGATGTGCAGGAGCTTCGTTAGAGAAGATGTTGCCTGTTGCTGGCCTCCTGGTTGAATGAATGCTGACAGCGTGGAGCTTGCTGGAGGAGGTGTTGCTTGTTCAAGAAGAGAGACCAGAATGAGAAAGCTGGTTGGTGAGGAAGCTCAGAGAAGGACAGCTGGTGGGTCGCCATGCTCACTGGCTGGAGCGAGGACCCCCAGGCAGGCGAGGAGAAGCGAGGGCTGCCAGGCAGCGGCGGAGGAGGAGGTGTTGCTTGTTCAAGAAGATGGTCAGAATGAATCTCAATGGAGAGACAGAGCTTATATACCCAGCAGCCGTGAGTCATCTATGAGTCATGTTGGGAAAACCCGAGAAAGTCGCCGGTCTTTTGGTTCCGTTGCTAGGTTACCGTACCATCTGGTGTCGCCGCTCGCTTGGTTGCTAAGGAAAGCGTCGCAGGTGGGATGCAGCTACGCAGTTTGTAGGGGAGACGTCCACTACAATATGCTAATTCCCGTTTTATTTCAACGTACCATAATATGTCTTTACACATGATGCTAATTGAAGAATTAACATTGATTAAGTTTTCAAAAAGCAAATAAGTTTTCGTCAAATAAGGATAACCTTTTGATTATATTACTACAAATTCATGGAAATTATTTTGTATACATTAGAATTTGCTTCGTTTCATTTTCTGCGTCGTTTACCATCATACGATATCCATATTTTACCTAAAGTAGGTTATGTTAGGTTAAGTTAGATTATGGTAGATCAGGTTAGGTTAAGTATGAACCTTTTCATTTATGTGTGTTACGATGATATACATGATCGTCTACGGCCAGTCACAGTTGATATTAAGGCAACTATCCATATTCAGTGTAACATACTATATGGATATACTAGGATCTCCTTAACATTATTAAATAAAGTCATATTGTCAACAATATGGTGCAACGAATAATAATAAGACTTCAGTAATTAACAACAGGATCATTGTACACATTATTTGGTGCTTTAGGAAGAGGTCCCCTCCAACTCAAGGTTCCTACACTATATACAGCACTTGTAACTCAAGGCTCCTACACTATATACAGCACTTGTAACTCAAGGTTCCTACACTATATACAGCACTTGTAACTCAAGGCTCCTACACTATATACAGCACTTGTAACTCAAGGCTCCTACACTATATACAGCACTTGTAACTCAAGGCTCCTACACTATATACAGCACTTGTAACTCAAGGCTCCTACACTATATACAGCACTTGTAACTCAAGGCTCCTACACTATATACAGCACTTGTAACTCAAGGCTCCTACACTATATCACAGACATATATAATTCCGTGTACCTTATATATCTCATATTATACATAATTGATCGATAAGAAAATACAGACCACCAGCTTAATACAGTATTTAAATATCGTAGGTGTAAGAATGGTGGGGTAGTGATGGAGTAGTGGTGGAGTAGTGGTGGAGTAGTGATGGAGCAGTGATGGGTAGTGATGGAGCAGTGGTGGAGTAGTGATGGAGCAGTGATGGAGTAGTGATGGAGCAGTGATGGAGTAGTGATGGGGTGAGATGGAGTAGTGATGGAGCAGTGGTGTAGTAGTGATGGGGTGAGATGGAGTAATGATGGAGCAGTGATGTAGTAGTGATGAAGCAGTGGTGGGGTAGTGGTGGGGTAGTGGTGGAGCAGTGGTGGAGTAGTGGTGGAGCAGTGGTGGAGTAGTGATGGAGCAGTGGTGGGGTAGTGATGTGGAGTAGTGATGGGTGATGGCAGTGGTGGTAGTAGGTGATGGAGCAGATGGACAGTGTAGTGTAGTGTAGTGATGAGCAGTAGTGTGGTGGAGAAAGTGATGGAGCAGTGGTGGAGTAGTGATGGAGAGTGGTGGAGTAGTGGTGATGGAGTAGTGGTGTAGTGATGGAGTAGTGGTGAGTAGTGATGGGGTAGTGATGGAGTAGTGGTGGAGTAGTGATGGAGCAGTGATGGGTAGTGATGGAGTAGTGGTGGAGTAGTGATGGGTAGTGGTGGGGTAGTGATGGAGCAGTGGTGGAGTAGTGGTGGAGTAGTGATGAGTGGGGTAGTGATGGAGCAGTGGTGAGTGGAGGAGTGTGATGATGGGGTAGTGATGGAGTAGGTGGTGGAGTAGATGGAGTAGGAGGAGGGGATGGGTAGTGATGGAGTAGTGGTGGAGTAGTGAGTAGGATGGGTAGTGATGGAGTAGTGGTGGAGTAGGGTGATGGAGTAGTGGTGGGGTAGATGAGGTAGAGGAGTGGTGGAGTAGTGATGGAGTAGTGGTGGGGTAGTGATGGAGCAGTGGTGAGTAGTGGTGGAGTAGTGATGGAGTAGTGGTAGTGGGAGAGTGGTGGTAGTGATGGAGCAGTGGTGGGTAGTGATGGAGCATGGAGTAGTGGTGTGATGGAGTAGTGGTGGGGTAGTGATGGAGCAGTGGTGGAGTAGTGGTGGAGTAGTGATGGAGTAGCGGTGGAGTAGTGGAGTAGTGATGGAGGGTCAGTACACGCTGGGGGCGCCCTCCCTGGTGATGGGACAGAAAAGCTTGGCAGTTTCGTCGTACAACATCCCGGAGTCCTTGAAGATAGGGGTAGAGTGACTCAGTTTGTTCCACAGGTGGATCACGTACGAGTTGGGAAACATCTGTCGTATATGAAGGCATTAAAGGTGACGTAACATAATCATAACATTTCGTAAACAAAAGAAAGGAAACATTTCACAATAGGTAAAAATATTATGAATTAGATTAAATTTGACCCCAGATAAAAGTTCAATGAATGAAGTGAATTAGAATATGACATTAAGGAGTAGATCCTTATGATGACGTAGAATCTGGATAATTTGAAATTCTCCACAAGAGACGAGAGACGTATTGCAAAATTCCCGGCCAGGAATGCTGTCCCCTTAATACATTGTTGAGTGTGGGAAAATTAATTTTATATGCCACAATGTCGCATATCACAAAGGTTTTCAAAACAGGAACCCTTACCATTAGGAAGGACTCCTTGGATCTGTTACATCCAAGTGTCACATTTAACCTAAGATTTTCATGTTCCACAAGTTCTTTCTCAAACATAAACAAATACCCAGCACAACCACTCAACACCCACGCACCTTAAGTACGTCCACACCACTCAGGGCTGTGAAGAAGTCCTTCCAATTTGTAACACGCAAGGGGTAGAAGGCACGTTGGTGCAGTAGTGTCACCCCTTGACACTTGTCCCCAGCAGCCAGCTCCTTGCCACATGCCATCTTTAGCACCTTCGTCACCAGCATTGGTCCGTTAATCCCCCACACATTCGGCTGAAAAGAAGACGAGGTTAAGACTGTACAACTCTGTGTTTCAGGTCATTTGCGACTTGATGATTTATGTAGTAAAATGTATAATTATGTTACACAAAATAGGGATAATGGCCAAATAGCGATAACTTCTATGTATTTCTTCTATTTAGACATTTGATGACAGAGACAACCACGTAAATAAGTGAATAGTTTCATGGAAAACCTAAACTAATCTAACCTTGCGCAATCTACACTAAGTATAATCTGTCTGTTTTATCTTGGTAAACAATGTCTTAAATATGGCGACCTGTGGTGCATGGGCAGCATGCTCGCCTCCGCAAGCAAGCGGACCCGGGTTCGATCCCGGGCTGGGTGAAACTATGGGCAAGTTTCAATACGCCATTTGCCTCTGTCTACCCAGCAATAATTGGGAACCTGGATGTTAATCGATTTGTGGATCGTGTGCCGGGGTGATGGTTAGCCAGTGCAGTTGGCGAGTTGTCCGGTTTTCTCGGATTATTCCTTGACACTGGGTCATGCAGCTCGTTAACCCAGAGTGTGATTCTTGTGTTACCGACAGCTTCTGAAACTTAAACAGATTCGCGCAGAGGTGGTTCTTGGCCCGGCCATCCTCGATACACGAGGGGCAACCATTATTTAAATGAAAAATATAAAAATTTACCATATACTCATTAATTTCTGAAGTTGTAGTATTAAAAGCAATTTTTTTTCCCTATTTGACAAAAGCATGTTTCTTTTTAAAACTTAATCAGCGACTGTCCCTATTAGGCATAACGTGTAAACTGACAAATGCAATTGTATAAAAATGTAAATGAAGAACCATTGGTAGTCAAGAGGTGGTCACAACGGGTTAGTGTTGCGCTGGTTGTATTGGAATATAAAACTACCCGGCGAGGAAAAAAGTTATCGTATAGTCAGTCATCATGAACATACATTAGGATGACTCAGACAGCACCAAACACGGCTACAAAGAGTGGGAGAGTAACGCCAGATGGAGAGCGGCAAAAAGTCACATGTGTTTTTATTTGTGTATTGAGAGTAGGTTGAGATGATCGTAGAGTGGTCCACATAACTGATCAACTCTTAAGCTCTAGCTAGTGGTCATACTCTCTATGTGTGAACAGAAGTGAACGTAGTAGTCTCTATATACTGAGTGAACGAAATGAACTGGAGAGAAGAAATAAAAAAAATAGTCTCAAGTGAAGACCTCGCTAAACATCACTTACGCTGAAGACTTCACTAAGTTGTTTCATGAAGGCCTCCAGCATAGGGTGATGTCTGTCAAAGTGAAACACGGCGCCGTTCACCCTCTTTTCTCTGACGATGCCGATGACGTTCTTCAGGTGGGTGAGAGAAGCGATGCACACCACGTCATTGTCGCTGTATAGGCCCCCAACCTGCCATACCAGCGCCAGGCGAATCATGTTGCTGAGACTTACTGCTGGCCACGCTGACGAAGGAAGAAGACACAAACGTAAGGGTGGAGCCACACCAAACACAAACATTGGTTGTAACATGTGTTGATGACTGTTATTATCAACTGTGAGATTCACGTCCACGCCAACGTAACAGTGTTATGAATAATGTTGTAAACATCCTGGACAAAAGTTACCAACAGTAATTGGAAACAGTGACAGCATCACTGTTGTAAACAGTTTGGACCAAAGCTGGGAACAAGGTTAAGACTGATTTCACACCAACGGCACATATTTTGGTAACATTGTAGGCAACATTGGTAGAAACAGAGGTGTAGTAATCACATCGTCCACACAAGCCGGTTCACTTGACAAGACGATGTCGGTGATCCATACCACAGCTTCATGCACCGCCGCCCACACTTCCACCTAGTACAATTAGCATTGTCAGTCCTCTCTCTCCATGATGTGTGAATCCAGAGAGAATTGAAACATGATTCCGAAGTGCTCATGAGTGACGGGGGGGGTGTGACTGGGCGACAGGGTACAGAGGTACACTCACTTCAATATTAACTGTACCAGGTGGAAGTGTGAGCAACTGTACATGTAGTACCTGTGGATTGTGCTGCCAACTAGTCCACAACACTACTAACTACCAGTGGTGCCAACACTGAACTCATCAACGGTAAAGTTATAGTTGGTAATAAACCAACACTGCTCTCAATTATAATATACCCAGTGTTTTCGTAAATTCGTTGCAACGTTGCTTATAACAACGTCGGCAAGACATGTTACCGACAATGTTGGTAACATTGTCGGTAACTTTGTGTGATAACGATGCCGCCATTCTTACACACACTAACTATCTACACTGTCTCTTGTCCACACTGTTTCCGACCATCTCCCCAACACTGTTACCTTGGTGTACCCCGCCCCTTGGAAGGTACTGCACTCGACCGACTTCACTGTCATAACTGTAAAGGTACCGTCATGACTGGAAGTAACTGGTGGCTGTGGTAGTAACTGGTGACTGTGGTAGTAACTGGTGACTGTGGTAGTAACTGGTGACTGTTGTAGTAACTGGTGAATGTGGTAGTAACTAGTGACTGTGGTAGTAATTGGTGACCGTGGTAGTAACTGGTGACTGTTGTAGTAACTGGCGAATGTGGTAGTAACTGGTGACTGTTGTAGTAACTGGTGACTGTTGTAGTAACTGGTGACTGTGGTAGTAACTAGTGACTGTTGTAGTAACTGGTGACTGTGATAGTAACTGGTGATTGTGGTCGTAACTGGTGGCTGTGGTAGTAACTGGTGACTGTTGTAGTAACTGGTGACTGTGGTAGTAACTGGTGATTGTGGTAGTAACTGGTGGCTGTGGTAGTAACTGGTGACTGTGGTAGTAACTGGTGACTGTGGTAGTAACTGGTGACCGTGATAGTAACTGGTGACTGTTATAGTAACTGGTGACTGTGATAGTAACTGGTGATTGTGGTCGTAACTGGTGGCTGTGGTAGTAACTAGTGACTGTTGTAGTAACTGGTGGCTGTGATAGTAACTGGTGATTGTGGTCGTAACTGGTGACTGTGGTAGTAACTGGTGACTGTGGTAGTAACTGGTGACTGTGGTAGTAACTGGTGACCGTGATAGTAACTGGTGACTGTTGTAGTAACTGGTGACTGTTGTAGTAACTGGTGACTGTGGTAGTAACTAGTGACTGTTGTAGTAACTGGTGACTGTGATAGTAACTGGTGATTGTGGTCGTAACTGGTGGCTGTGGTAGTAACTGGTGACTGTGGTAGTAACTGGTGACTGTGGTAGTAACTGGTGACTGTGGTAGTAACTAGTGACTGTGGTAGTAACTGGTGACTGTGGTAGTAACTGGTGATTGTGGTAGTAACTGGTGATTGTGGTCGTAACTGGTGACTGTTGTAGTAACTGGTAACTGTAGTAGTAACTGGTGAATGTGGTAGTAACTGGTGACTGTTGTAGTAACTGGTAACTGTAGTAGTAACTGGTGAATGTGGTAGTAACTGGTGAATGTGGTAGTAACTGGTGACTGTGGTAGAAACTAGTGACTATGGTAGTAACTGGTGACTGTGGTAGTATCTAGTGACTGTGGTAGTAACTGGTGACTGTGGAAGTAACTAGTGACTGTGGTAGTAACTGGTGACTGTGGTAGTAACTGGTGACTGTGGTAGTAACTGGTGACTGTGATAGTAACTCAGTGGTGTGTCACTCATTTTGTGGTGGTAACTCACTGGTGTTGTGGTTCCAGACGGTGGAGGTGTACAGGTCCATCAGTGGTGTGTTGTAGAACACCTGACGCAGGTCCACCGTCACCACCCTCAGGTTGTGGTAGTGCTCCAGCAGGCGACCAGCCACACCCTGCCGTAAGTCCACCACCTGTGACATCATGACGTACCACACTACCGCTTGCGGGTTCTGCTGCGCCAGGCTGTGGCAAAACGTACTCAGTCAACGCCCTCACTGACGGAAAAGCACTGACGAAATCGAATTTATGGGAAGTCCGCCCCTTCAGAGCTCACACACGCGTACACGTGGACTCTAACGTAACACACAGGTACAGTACACATGTCCTCTTATGGTACACATGAAGACCCTCACGGTCTAGTGATATATACTGAAACTCCCCGGGTAGGGCGAGAAACTAGGCAGGTCTCTTTACACCCGTTGCCTCTGTTCACCCAGCAGTGGGTAGGAACCTGGTTGTAAGACGGGTGTTGTGGGTCACATCCTGGAGAATGGTGTAATACAATAACATCTGAGGAACACCTCTCAAAGAAACAGGACGTGTGTCATACCTGGCGTCTGCCCCATGTTGGTCTAAACCTAAGTATAAAGAGCCTCCTACACCTAAAGGCACACACGGCCTCCTACAGTACAACTACAGGCACACACGGCCTCCTACGGTATACCTACAGGCACACACGGTCTCCTACGGTACACTTACAGGCACACACAGTCTCCTACAGTACACCTACTACCACACACGGCCTCCTATGGTACAACTACAGGCACACACAGTCTTCTACGGTACACCTACAGGCACACACGGCCTCCTACAGTCCAACTACAGGCACACACGGTCTCCTACGGTACACCTACAGGCACACACGGTCTCCTACGGTACACCTACAGGCACACACAGTCTCCTACAGTACACCTACAGGCACACGGCCTCCTACAGTACACCTACAGGCACACACGGCCTCCTGGTACACCTACAGGCACACACAGTCTCCTACGGTACACCTGGCACGGCCTCCTACAGGTACATCTACAGGCACTCACGGCCTCCTATGGGTACAACTACAGGCACACACAGTCTCCTGCAGTACCTACAGGCACACGGCCTCCTACAGGTACATCTATGGGCACACACGGCCTCCTATGGTACAACTCAGGCACACAGTCTCTACGGTCACCTACAGGCACGGCCTCCTGCAATCCTACAGGCACACGGCCTCCTATGGTACAACTACAGGCACACACAGTCTCCTACGGTACACCTTTCAGGCACACAGTCTCCTATGGTGCAACTACAGGCACACACAGTCTCTACGGTACACCTACAGGCCACCGGCCTCTAGTACACCTACAGGTGCACAGTTTCCTACAGTACACCTACAGGCACACGGCCTCCTACAGTCCAACTACAGGCACACAGTCTCCTACGGTACACCTACAGGCACACAGTCTCTACAGTACACCTACAGGCACACGGCCTCCTACAGTACACCTACAGGTACACACAGTTTCCTACGGTACACCTACAGGCACACACACGGCCTCCCGTACCTACAGGCACGGCCTCCTGCAGTACACCTAAGCACGGCCTCCTACGCCCAGGGTACAAGGCTCTACCGTGCACCTACAGGCAGCCTCCTACAGTACACCTCAGGCACACACGGCCTCCTACAGTACACCTACAGGCACGCACACAGTACATCTACAGGCACACGGCCTCCTATGGTACAACTACAGGCACACACGGCCTCCTGGCACACCTACAGGCACTCGGCCTCCTACAGGTACAGCCAGTACACACACAGTCTCCTACGGTACACCTACAGGCACCGGCCTCCTACAGTACACATCTACAGGCACACACGGCCTCCTACAGTACACCTACAGGCACTCGGCCTCCTACAGTACATCTACAGGAACGGCCTCCTACAGTACACCTACAGGCACACACGTCTCCTACGGTACACCTACAGGCACACACTGTCTCCTACAGTACACCTACAGGCACACACGGCCTCCTACAGGTACACCTACAGGCACACGAGGACTCCTGCAGTGCACCTGGGCACTCGGCCTCCTGAGTACACCTACAGGCACACGAGGGACTCCTACAGTACACCTACAGGCACTCGGCCTCCTGTACACCTTCGGGCCTCAGGGCCTCCTCGTGGTACTACAGGCACACACACGGCTACGGTACTACAGGCAGGTTTACCCATCTTACCTCTCGGCGCACCAAGCTCAGTAGGATGGCTTCGGGTTGCAGGATGTCTCAGCCAGTGGGGTTGCTTACGTTCCTTCCATTCCTTCTCCAAACTGGCGAAGGACAGAACAAGCAACTGAGATGAAGGTGAAGAGATGATAGGGGAAGTGAAGATCTTTGATAAAAAAAGTTTGTATCTGAACTTTGTGTCTGTAGTCAGAAACTTCAATCACGAGTTTACTTTGAAGAGCTCAGTCTGCTCTACCTACCTGAAAAACTTTGTCTACACAACCTATCTGAAGCACTCCATGTACCTACCTGAAGAGGTCTTGTGGCTTCATGTAGTCTTTAGGAGCCCCGACTGGTAGAGAACACTCCACCGTGCCCCTCCTCCACACAGCCCCGCCCTTCATGTAGTAATTCTCTACCTACACCATCAACCTTGGAGGTATCATCTCTGTCTCCGGGAGACAGGAGGACAGGAGCTCCCGACCACCACGAAGACACTCCGCTACCGGGGCCTCCATTTCAACTGGAGGACGTTCTCAGGAAGGAAACAGATGTCAAGAGGGCAACAGGTGTTGGATATATCAGAAAAGTTTCTATATCTCTACATAAAAAACCATAACCATTTGTTTTCTTTTTTTATAGTAAAACTATAATATAATTTATAATTTCCAAAGCAAAGATTTAATCGGATATCAACAGGTGTAGTGATGCAAGTAATAACAGGTGTGGGTGAAGACCAGGGATCAACAGATGTTTGTGTGTGTGTGGGATGCCAGGTATTAACCGTGGGTGAAGGCCAAGTAATAACAGGTGTGGGTGAAGACCAAGTAATAACAGGTGTGGGTTGATGCCAGGTATCAACAGGTGGTGGGAGGCCAAATCAACAGGTGGGTGGAGGCCAGGTATCAACAGGGTGAAGACAAGTAATAACAGGTGGGTTGATGCCAGGTATCAACAGGTGGGTGGAGGCCAGGTATCAACAGGTGGTGGTGGAAGCGGGTATCAACAGGTGGGTGGAGGCCAAGTATCAACAGGTGTGGGTGGAGGCCAGGTATCACAGGTGTGGGTGGAGGCCAGGTATCAACAGGTGTGGGTGGAGGCCAGGTATCAAGGGTGGAGGCCAGGTATCATGGGTGGAGGCCAGGTATCAACAGGTGTACGTGGCCTGGTATCAACTCACCGTTTAGGGTTAGACGTAGAGAAAGCACAGAAAGAATGCCAAGAGAAGCCTGAATCACCGATCTTCTATTACAAGTTCTCATCTCTGCTGTCAAGATTCACAAAGAAAATACATAACGTGAACAGAACACGAAACTGCACCGAGACTTTAAACTTTTTAATTTAAGTTTCTAAAAATATAAAGTGGAAAATTTATCAGTAGTTTACAAAATAAAGATGATATTAAAATACTGGATCTACACTGCAGTTACATTACATTAGTTTTGGGAGATTTGTTTTTAAGGGACGAGATATGGATTTCAAATTTACGTGTTCTTATGTGACTCTGGGTTTATACACGTCTGTCTGATGTCCTCACCTATCGTACTGACATGCATGGTCGCTTCTCCGTCACACCTTCCATCCCTTACTCCACCCGTCATGTTGGTTGTTAATGTTATTAGTACGGTACATTCTCCATTGCTACATTATTATAGCGCTTAACAAAAAGCGTTTGAATCTCTCCACCATTCTAGCCTTAACCAGAACAATACTTAAGATACGTTTATGTGTTTTTTAGTTCCGTCAAATTTGAGTCTCATTAGAGTTTTACGATGACAGATCAACATCATGTTAAGGTAGAGTCTCAGTGGTAATTTAGGCGCCATTTTGTTCTCCGCCTTTTGTTCTCGTAACTGAAAGTAACAGCCAGTTAGATATTAATTTCTAGAATATAATGATAGTCTTGTTGATTACTGAGGCACTGATAGTCTTTAGACGGAGCTGAGTGCTTGTTTACTTCCTGCAGTCCTTAAGAAGTAAGGTACTGTACTCATTTGATTATTTCCTATTTACTTGTCTTCAGGTGTAAAGATTATTGAGAAATATATATATATATATTTATCTATCACACTCTAATTCTGCCTACCTGTTTTTGTCTTATATAAATAATTACTTCAGTAAGATGACAGAATCCTTTGAAAGCAATGTCTTAAACCTCTGAGAGTACTTATATCGAACTCGGCAAGTTAGGTCATTGTATTGAAGGGCCGGGTTATTGTACTCAAAGGGTTAGTGCCATATCTAGTCAAGGATTACATTATGTGAGAATTATCATCAAATTCAACTGAATTAATACAGTCGACACAAAATTTTTGGGTACTATCGGGAAGTGAAACACAACAGTTACTCCGTTCTCAAGTCTGTCTAAAAAGTGAGGGGGGCGGTGTGTTTATACTGGTCAGGTCAGGAGTGTGATACAGTGGTAATACGTGACCACTTTATTGAATAAATGATTAATAGTGAAATATCCATATTCCCAACAGTCAATCGAAACAATTTCTGTGCATGATGTGTGACGTTAGCCTCACCCCTGAGTAATGACCTTATTGAACACTTGGATAGCTTACAAAAACCACAATGAGAAATCTCAACAGTTTGTGGCTGAAGATTGTGTGAGCAAAACCTGAGAACATGTGGTATTATTTAGCCCTGGATGGTAATAGTCACAACGATTGATAAAACAGAGAATATTCTTTCTTTATTTCGATAGTTTTAGTTATCTTAGTTGTGGAGGCAAAGAAATAAATATATAAACAAACATAACGGAATGTTAAATTCAAATTGGGTGAGACTTCAGGCTGTTGCTCTTATATGATGAGGAGCAAACAGCAGGGAGTTAATAGTGGCAACTGACGGCAGCACTACAAATAGAGTCGTCTTTCGTGACATTATTTTATGATAGTTATAATTGACGTTTTAAAGACCAAAGCTCTCATCTGATAAAATGAGGTGATATGAATTGTGGTTTTATGCCTCACTGTTTTACAGGCATAGAAAAACCTACGCGTAATGGAGGGTAATTACTAACTTTTGTTCACTCGCTCTCAAACCTCACCGCTACATTTTTGAGTCATTGTACATCTGTTTATGGTTTTCATTTATCGTACACCGCCTCCTGTCTACCTCCCCCACAACCTTCTCCCATCACCCCCCAAAACCACATCCCGCCACCCCACCCACCCCACCCACCTCCACCCCACCCACTTACCCACCCTCCACCTCATCTCCTACCACCTTTCCCTTCGTCACGATTGGCCGTATTATTGTCTCGTCGGTAACTCAAGCATTACTGGTCTGCAGATGTAATTCTTAAGTAATTGCCGGAGACTGTAACACAGGACATTGAATGTTATTATGGATGAAGAGAAAATATTCATTTGTTTATATTTGACGAAATTTATCCTACTATACAAAAAATATCCTAATTATTTATACATTCTGATGCTATTTAGTGTTTGTGAAGGTTGGTTTATACAGATGGTACTTATCAAGAACTCGTTACATATGTTAATTGTTAATGTAGATAAAGTATAAGACAGCAATTTATGTTATTTTATTTCTTACTTGAGGAAGAATAACAAGAAATCATTTATAACTCTGCTTAAGTTTTGGATACATGTACTGGAGGTGGAGTCACTAGGTGGGAGGAAGGACGAATATGAGTAGTTATTGGGTGAAGTTAGTTCCGCCTTGATGATTATCCAGTAAACTACCTAAGTGTAGAATCAGATTAACTGTTTATTACATGCACTAGCTCCCTACAAACGGGTAGTAGATAGGTTCATGCTAATAGTAATAGTTCATACTAGGAACATATGATAGTCATGCTACTAGTACTGGCTCACACTTCACACTTATTACGTTTTAACACTTCATTGGAAAACGAATTTCGACTTCAGGAACGTTAATACACTACATTAAACCGTCGACCACCGCCAAATACTCATCTTAATTACGTTGTTTTGTATATTTTTTCATTCAGAAATCTTTGTACCTGTAACTTATGTGAAATTCAACTTGTGTGTGTACCATAACGTATGTGTGCACCTATAAATTGTGTATACCTGTAACTTATGTGTACTTGTGACTTGTGTATTGTATTTTTGTGTACCTTGATGTGTGTGTACCTGTATTTGTGTGCCTATAACTTGTGTGTACATTTATAATTTGTGTGTTTACCTGCAACTTATGTACTGTACCTGTAACCTGGAGTGTGTACATGTAATTTGTGTGTATCCTGTAACTTGTGTATATTCTAACTTATGTGGGTAACTTACCTATGTACTGTACCTGTAACTTGTGTGTGGTGTACCTGTACCTGTATGTGTGTGCCTAAACAGTATGGCACATTATTTAACAGTTGCGGTCCAAATTCCCGACTGGCAGTACCTGGCATTTAAATACTTGAGGACCATTAAGGAAAAATTGAGAGGTTTACAATTTTAACCCATTTTTCATTTTTCTTTTTATTACGACAGGGTTTTTTTTGGGGTTGGTGGTCCGACATGAGATAAAAAGCAACGTTAAAGATAAAAAACATTCATAAATAAACCCAGAAGTGATGACAGATACTTGCTAAATGTTTTGGAGAATATCCATAATTGTATATTGATCGTCAATGGTATAACCTGATTCTTCTTCTTCATCGTAGTGACAAGGGACTGGAGCAGAAAAAATCTTATGAGGAGAAAGACAATGATCCAAACTCATCTTTTATACACTCAAAATAATGTCGAGGTAATACAGTGGTTAAAAGAAAAACTACTGATTGATTACAAAAATATTAAATTGGCAAAAATTTATTTATAGCTGTTACCTGGAGGAAATAGGCATGAAGGGGGTGGGAGATGCAGGGCGGGGGAGAGCGAAGGTGGTGGAGAGATGCAGGCGAGGGGGGAAGAGAGGGTGAGAGGCGAGAGGGACGGAGGGTAGGTGCAATACAACGAGACTGTCAGTCACACAAGTGAGCCAGTGCACCAGGCGGAGTGCCTCCGACCGACGGGTGGAACAAATATTCTCAGATTCATAAAGTGACGTAATTGTTAAAAAAAAATCATCTGTGTTGCTCCTTAAAAAACAAAAAAACTAATGTAACTGTAGTAGAGTCTCGGTGTAGTTTGGACGCCATCTTTCATCTTGTATTCATCCGACATTCATCATAAACATCATTGTCCTCATCGAATTTGATCTGCTGATATAAGATTCGCCTACCGTACGATTCTTGTTTATATATGATTCGTTCTGTTGACATGAATCGTGTACAGTAATTTTAAACACATACATGCGTGTCTGATATATTATTTGTTTTTGTTTTTTAGTGATTCTGATAACAGAGAGATGTCAACGTATAGGAAGAACCTGATGATCCGTGCAACTACTTTCACCTCTCATCTGTTTTCTTTCTCGTCACATCTGAAGGGTAAGTTGTCACCCTGCCCTCGCCTCTCCGTTTGTTGAAACCTGCCCTCCTCACCCACACCTGTTGATACCCGGTCCCCAACCCACACCTGTTGATACCTGGCCTCATGACAAATGTTATCGATTTTGGGCAAGTATTCTTTTTTACTAAATGCATCAGAATTTTAGCACATGCTGCCTTCCAAAGCAGCTGCTGTCCTATCATCTGTTAACATATTCGACATCTGTTGCTCACCTCAGCAGCATCTCTCGCCTTCTATAGTGAGGACGTCCCTGTCCGAAATGGAGGCCCGGTATGGACTGTCTTCGTGGTGCGGGTGCTCCTGTCCTCCTGTCTCCCGAGAACGAGATGATTCCAAGGTTGAGGTGGGTGTAGATGAGAATTACTACATGAAGGCGGGGCTGTGAGGAGGGCACGGTATGTGTTCACCAGTCAGCCCAAAGACTACATGAAGCTACAAGACCTCTTTCAGGTAGGTCTCACACGTGGAGTGATTCAGATAGGTTGTGTAGACAGCCTTCAGGTAGGTAGAGCAGACTGAGTTTTCAAAGTAAACTCGTGATTAAAGCTTTACCTTTTCAGACTACAGACACAAAGTTCAGATACAGACTTTTTTTATCAAAGATCTTCACTTTCCACTCATCTCTTCTTCTACCTTCATTCAGTTGCTTAACCTGTATTGTTTTCTTGTTCTGTCCTTCGCCAGTTTGGAGAAGGAATGGGGGACGGGCAACATCCTACTGGCTGAGACATCCTGCAACCTGAAGCCATCCACTGAGCTTGGTGCGCCGGAGAGGTAAGATGGTAAACCTGCCTGTAGGTATACCGCAGGAGGCCGTGTGTGCCTGTAAGTATACCGGGAGGCCGATGCCCAGGTGTAACGTAGAGGCCTGTGTGCCTGGAGGTACCAGGACGTGAGTGCCTGTAGGTATACCGCAGGAGGCCGTGTGTGCCTGTAAGTATACCGCAGGAGGCCGCATGTGCCTGTAGGTGTAACGTAGGAGGCCTCGTGTGCCTGTAGGTGTACCGCAGGAGGCCGTGAGTGCCTGTAGGTGTACTGTAGGAGGCCGTGTGTGCCTGTAAGTATACCGCAGGAGGCCGCATGTGCCTGTAGGTGTAACGTAGGAGGCCTCGTGTGCCTGTAGGTGTACCGCAGGAGGCCCGAGTGCCTGTAGGTGTAGGCCGTGTGTGCCTGTAAGCATACCGCAGGAGGCCGTGCCTGTGGTATACCGCAGGAGGCCGTGTGTGCCTGTAGGTGTAGCGTAGGAGGCCGTGTGTACCTGTGTACGGTAGGAAGCCGTGTGTGCCTGTAGGTGTACCGTAGGAGACTGTGTGTGCCTGTAGTTGTACTGTAGGAGGCCGTGTGTGCCTGTAGGTGTACCGTATGTGTGCCTGTAGGTGTACTGTAGGAGGCTGTGTGTGCCTGTAGGTGCCATGGGAGACTGTGTGTGCCTGTAGTTGTACTGTAGGAGGCCGTGTACCTGTAGGTACGGAGGCTGTGTGCCTGTAGGTGTGGAGGCTGTGTGTGCCTGTGGGTGTACTGTGGAGACCGTGTACCTGTAGGTGTACGGTAGGAAGGTGTGCCTGTAGGTGCACGGTAGGGAAGCCGTGTGTGCCTGTAGGTGTACTGTAGGAGGCCGTGTGCCTGTAGGTGTACTGTAGGAGGCCGTGTGCCTGTAGGTGTACTAGGAGGCCGTGTACCTGTAGGTGTACGGTAGGAAGCCGTGTGTGCCTGTGTGTACCGTAGGAGGCCGTGCCTGTAGGGTGTGCGGTAGGAAGCCCTGTGTGCCTGTAGGTGCACTGTAGGAGGCCGTGTGTGCCTGTAGGTGTACCGTAGGAGGCTGTGTGTGCCTGTAGGTGTACGGTAGAGGCCGTGCACCTGTAGGTGTACGGTAGGAAGCCCTGTGTGCCTGTAGGTGTACCGTAGGAGGCCGTGTGTGCCTGTAGGTGTACCGTAGGAGGCTGTGTGTGCCTGTAGGTGTACCGTAGGAGGCTGTGTGTGCCTGTAGGTGTACTGTAGGAGACCGTGTGTACCTGTGGGTGTACGGTAGGAAGCCGTGTGTGCCTGTAGGTGCACGGTAGTGGCCGTGTGTGCCTGTGTGTACTGTAGGAGGCCGTGTGCTGTAGGTGTACTGAGGAGGCCGTGTGTGCCTGTAGGTGTACAGGAGGCCGTGTGTACCTGTAGGTGTACGGTAGGAAGCCGTGTGTGCCTGTAGGTGTACCGTAGGAGGCCATGTGTGCCTGTAGGTGTACCGTATGTGTGCCTGTAGTTGTACTGTAGGAGGCCGTGTGTGCCTGTAGTTGTACCGTAGGAGGCCGTGTGTGCCTGTAGGTGTGCCGTAGGAGGACGTGTGTGCGGTAGTGTGTACGGTAGGAGGCTCTTTATACTTAGGTTTAGACCAACATCGGGCAGACGCCAGGTAGGACTCACGTCCTGTTTCTTTGAGAGGTGTTCCTCAGATGTTATTGCATTACACCATTCCCCAGGATGTGACCCACAACAGCCGTCTTACAACCAGGTTCCTACTCACTGCTGGGTGAACAGAGGCAACGGGTGTAAAGAGACCTGCCTAGTTTCTCGCCCTACCCGGGGAGTTTCAGTATATATCACTAGACCGTGAGGGTCTTCATATGTACCATAAGAGGACATGTGTACTGTACCTGTGTGTAACGTTAGAGTCCACGTGTACGCGTGTGTGAGCTCTGAAGGGGCGGACTTCCCATAAATTCGATTTCGTCAGTGCTTTTCCGTCAGTGAGGGCGTTGACTTAGTACGTTTTGCCACAGCCTGGCGCAGCAGAACCCGCAAGCGGTAGTGTGGTACGTCATGACATCACAGGTGGTGGACTTGCGACAGGGTGTGGCTGGTCGCCTGCTGGAGCACTACCACAACCTGAGGGTGGTGACGGTGGACCTGCGTCAGGTGTTCTACAACACACCACTGATGGACCTGTACACCTCCACCGCCTGGAACCACAACACCAGTGAGTTATCACCACAAAATGAGTGACACACCTCTGAGTTACTGACACACCACTGAGTTACTACCACACTATGAGTGACACACCACTGAGTTACTGACACACCACTGAGTTACTACCACACTATGAGTGACACACCTCTGAGTTACTGACACACCACTGAGTTACTACCACACTATGAGTGACACACCACTGAATTAATAACACTCTGTGAGTGATACAACGGAGTTCCTTGGAGTTCCCGCCCTGATCTCTTGTGCTTACTCAACGTTCATTCTTTCTAAGCTCACCTATGCTTCCCTTGCCTAGTCTTCATTCTTAATTAAATTCCACACAGCGAAAATTCATAGAAAAAGTGCAGAAGGAGCCGCCTCAGCTCTTTCTGATCATCACCATGACCTCATCTGCAAGTTTAAGGAGAAGCTTCTGCACCATCCTCGCTATCATCTTCTGCTCCCACCCGAGATCCCTCGTCCGAGAATTGCTGTTCGACACCACAACCACATCCAACCCATACTAGCACGTTCTGATCGCTATAAGAACAGCCCAGTCCCAACCATTGTAAAAATTATCAACAACTCGTAGTTAACCAGTGCGTTTAGTCCCAGCCAATCTCACTTCTGTACTGTTACTATGCTAAAAATGATCTTCTCCCCACCTTGTTATTATATATCATATTTGTACAACTTATGTCACTTATATATTATTTGTCAATCAAGTGATCCATTCCCAAATTATGTAATCTTTATCATCTCTGTTTACTGTATATTTTCAGCTCTATGGCTTTCAAATTCTTTAAATACGCAGTTAATTGTAATTATTATAAACACACACACACACACACACACACACACACACACACACACACACACACACACACACACACACACACACACACACACACACACACACACACACACACACTCACACACACACACACACACACACACACACACACACACACACACACACAGCTAACTCTAAAGTTGGGTATTGAAGGCAGTCGAGTACAGCACCTGCCATGTTTGCCTCCTTGTTCACCGAAGGTTGAGTTTATAGAAGTACTGTACCAAACCTCTCCATAACTGACCGTCAGTCCTACGAGATCAACTTTCAGCAGAATCTGATATACCCAAAACAACTCATCTAGCCTAATCTAAAAGACCCAACGATAACCAATACTTTAGATATCCTTGCCGAGATATGAACTAACATATCTTAACCCAATTTGGAATACCCTAACTCACCCGAACCAGCCACAAACTAACTTAAACTGATTTATCTCACCCTAACCAGACAGAGTCCTGACCTCAATTGCATTTCGGGAGGATAAACTTCTTCCTCTTATGCCTAGCACAGCAAAATCTAACGTTTGTGTCTTCTTCCTTCGTCAGCGTGGCCAGCAGTAAGTCTCAGTGACATGATTCGCCTGGCGCTGGTGTGGCAGGTTGGGGGCCTATACAGCGACAATGACGTGGTGTGCATCGCTTCTCTCACCCACCTGAAGAACGTCATCGGCATCGTCAGAGAAAAGAGGGTGAACGGCGCCGTGTTTCACTTTGACAGACATCACCCTATGCTGGAGGCCTTCATGAAACAGCTTAGTGAAGTCTTCAGCGTAAGTGATGTTTAGCGAAGTCTTCACTTGAGACTATTTTTTATTTCTTCTCTCCAGTTCATTTCGTTCACTCAGTATATAGAGACTACTACGTTCACTTCTGTTCACACATAGAGAGTATGATCACCAGCTAGAGCTTAAGAGTTGATCAGTTATGTGGATCACTCTACGATCATCTCAACCTACTCTCAATACACAAATAAAAACACATGACTTTTTGCCGCTCTCCATCTGGCGTTACTTCCCCACTCTTTGTAGCCGTGTTTGGTGCTGTCTGAGTCATCCTAATGTATGTTCATGATGACTGACTATACGATAACTTTTTTCCTCGCCGGGTAGTTTTATATTCCAATACAACCAGCGCAACACTAACCCGTTGTGACCACATCTTGACTACCAATGGTTCTTCATTTACATTTTTATACAATTGCATTTGTTTGTTTTAATGAGTTGATGAAATAACGACACATTATCAGATTTTATCACCATCAAGGAAGTGTTATTTGTCATACAAGTTAGTCATACAATAATCACTATATGAAACAGGGACCCTAACTCTAATTCTTACATTAACGCGCAGTTCATTTCATTATGTTTCGACTCTTACAAACTCTACAATTACGAATTTCTATAATTGGCCTAATTATGACAAATTACGAAGTATGAAGTTACGTATTATACATTTTCCTACATAAATCATGAAATCAACGGATAATCTGAGGTATATATTTGTCTTCCCTTATAGCCCAATGTGTGGGGGGTAAACGGACCAGATATGGTGTCGCAAGTGTTAACGACCGCATGCGGCAAGGACTTGGAGGCTGGGACCCAGTGTCGAGGGCTGACACTACTGAGCACACGAGCCTTCTACCCCTTGCCTGTTAATGCGTGGAGTAACTTCTTTATACCTCTCAGGGGCGTGGATGTGCGTAAGGTAAGTGGTGCAGGACGTGTCTGTGTTAAGATAGTGGTGCAGGACGTGGCTGTGTTAAGATAGTGGTGCAGGACGTGGCTGTGTTAAGATAGTGGTGCAGGACGTGGCTGTGTTAAGATAGTGGTGCAGGACGTGGCTGTGTTAAGATAATTGGTGCAGGACGTGGTTGTGTTAAGATAGTGGTGCAGGACGTGGCTGTCGTGAGATAGTGGTGCAGGCGTGGTTGTGTTAAGATAGTGGTGCAGGACGTGGCTGTGTTAAGATAGTGGTGCAGGACGTGGTTGTGTTAAGATAATTGGTGCAGGGGGGCGTGGTTGTGTTAAGATAGTGGTGCAGGACGTGGCTGTGTTAAGACAGTGGTGCAGGACGTGGCTGTGTTAAGATGGTGCAGGACGTGGCTGTGTTAAGACAATGATGGTGCAGGGCGTGGCTGTGTTAAGATAATTGGTGCAGGACGGGGCTTTGTGTTAGATAATTGGTGCAGGACGTGGCTGTGTCAAGATAGTGGTGCAGGACGTGGCTGTGTTAAGATAATTGGTGCAGGACGTGGCTGTGTTAAGATAGTGGTGCAGGACGTGGCTGTGTTAAGACAGTAGTGCAGGACGTGGCTGTTAAGATAGTGGTGCAGGGGCTGGCTGTGTGTTTGAGATAGTGGTACGGGACGTGGCTGTGTTAAGACAGTGGTGCAGGACGTGGCTGTGTTGAGATAGTGGTGGGACATTGGCTATGTTAAGATAGTGGTGCAGGACGTGGCTGTGTTAGATAATTAATGGTGCAGGACGTGGCTGTGTTAGGAACAGTGGTGCAGGACGTGGCTGTGTTAAGATAGTGGTGCAGGACAGGGGCTGTGTTGAATGGTGGTGCAGGGACGTGGCTGTGTTAAGATAGTGGTGCAGGACGTGGCTGTGTTAAGATAGTGGTGCAGGACGTGGCTGTGTTAAGATAGTGGTGCAGGACGTGGCTGTGTTAAGATAGTGGTGCAGGACGTGGCTGTGTTGAGATAGTGGTGCAGGACGTGGCTGTGTTAAGATGCAGTGGTGCAGGACGTGGCTATGTATGGTGGTGCAGGACGTGGCTGTGTTGAGATAGTGGTGCAGGACGTGGTTGTGTTAAGATAGTGGTGCAGGACGTGGCTGTGTTAAGATAGTGGTGCAGGACGTGGTTGTGTTAAGATAGTGGTGCAGGACGTGGTTGTGTTAAGATAGTGGTGCAGGACGTGGCTGTTAAGATAGTCTCTTGCTTACAACAGATATCCCCAATAAACATTAAGTAATGTAGTGTAAGTAATTGTTACCTGAGATTTTATACTTAAATTTCTGACTTATAAAAAATAATGTTTCTATAATGTCAAATATGATAAATTTCAAATTATCTAAAACTTACCTGATTATGTCAATACATCACCATAAAGATCTACTCCTTAATGTCATATTCTAATTCACTTCATTCATTAAACTTTTATCTGGAGTAAAATTTAATCTGATTCATAATATTTTTACCAATTGCGAAATGTTTCCTTTTTTTTTAACGATATGGTATGATTATGTTACGTCACCTTTAATGCCTTCATATACGACAGATGTTTCCCAACTCGTACGTGATCCACCTGTGGAACAAACTGAGTCACTCTACCCCTATCTTCAAGGACTCCGGGATGTTGTACGACGAAATTGCCAAGGTCTTCTGTCCCATCACCAGGGAGGGCGCCCCCAGCGTGTACTGACCCTCCATAACTACTCCACCACTGCTCCATCACTACCCCACCACTACTCCATCACTACACCATAACTACTCCATCACTACTCCATCACCCCCATTAATAATCCATCACCCTCCATATCACTACTGTACCTCATCAGCTAGCACAGAGAAGCATCCGACAAGGGAACATTCTTGCACCTATAGTATTCATATATTAAGATGAATGTTCTCTATTTATCTTATCGACGAATTATGAATATATCATAATGAAAGAAATCCCTGGGTTTTTTTAATCTTCATCTTTACATTTCAGTATTTTTGTTTACATAAATCAGGGATAATCGTCTGTTAAGCTTTTAAAAAAAATGACATTTTTGCCAGATTCACATAACTTTTTGTTTTTATTGCTACAATTTGATAGATATTACTTCGTATATGAGGAAATTTTCTCTGTTTTATTAAAGACGTCATTTACCATCATGAAGTAGCTAGAGTGAGTTAGGTTAGGTTATGTATGAAACTATTCTTTCATATGTATCAGGCAGCCGCTCCTCCTCTGCCGTGAATTGCTACTTAGCAACTGTATCGGTCGCAGTATTCTTACACCAAGCAGGAAACAAGGCGGCATCGCGGACTCATTGTAGCCAATCAAGTCGCCGCTGCCGTGAAATTACCCCAAATTCCTTGTTTTACCATCAACAATTGGACATGTCTATTATAGGTTACTTTTTTTTTTTGCGAAATCGGTTATTTTGCAAAATTACCGGCATGCACGCCGGTAATTTTGCAAAATAACTTACAAACAGGCTAACCAAAGTTAAAAAAAAAAGAACAGGACCACTTAACTGTGTATCAATCTACACGAGCCATCCTAACCTAACCTATCCTCTCCTCTCATTTAGCCTAACCATATGGTTAGGTTAGTTTAGGTTGTCTGTTTGTAAGTTGTTTTGCAAAATTACCAATATGCATGCAGGTAATTAAAAAAAAACGATTTCGCAAAAAAAAAGCGTGACATAAACAGTATTTACCGTCATGTACAAGTTGTTCTCAATATTCTCAGGGCTGTTCCCCTCCAAAGGTGCTGGCATATAGAAGCATCTTTGTGGTGTGATGGGAACTAAGTAGTCAGTTCGTTCAAGGAACGAGTTATTAATTATGTTTATTCGTTTTCATCTTACAAGTGTTATGTTAGGTTTGTATTATGTTCGTTTGTGATATGTATTGTTGTAGGTTATATAGTATATTGTTGTATTGTAAATTATGCATTACTTGTGTCAATGTTTACATCCTGGCAACTCTGTGAAATTAATTAGTAAGTCTACCGGTAGCTGTCACTGACTCTGCTTCTTAACGTGCTGTTGTTCTGCTCTGTTCTGTGTACGCGTATCCGGTCATCTCACAGCTAAGTTTACTTTGTGTATATGGATTAGGATTATAATTATAATGTATAGTATGATAGTTAACACTTATTCCTTGTGTTAAGTGTAGGATTAGAGGTTCTTGTCTTTTTGTCCCCGTTGTTCCTCAGTTGTAGTTGATGTACTTTTATTTTCACCTTTCTGTGTATATGAGGGCCGTACCAGGGGGGGGGGGAGGCTCTGGGTGTCCGAACCCCCATTTTCATCAGAAAATTCCAATATTTTTTTTTTCAATGCAGTATTGTACTAAGGCGTTTTTTATAGTAAAAATTAATTACTATTGACCTCAGAATATCTCCTAATATCAAGTTCACATGGCCTCAAAATGCCCATGATATGTAGCTCGCCATGTTTCCCCATCCACAATTTCTTGGACTCCCCCCCCCACCCCTTTTTTATATTACTGGATCCACTCCTGTTTATAAACTTTACAGCTATACAGTTCAGCATAAGGATATCCGACAAAGCTAGGAAAATTGCGAGGATTGGCTACAGTACAGCGCCTGCGTTCTCTAATCTATGTACACTCACGCGCCATAGTTTCAATGCACCCTCTACCCCTACTCCTGGATCGATGGAAGTCGTAACCTTGGCTTCATACCGAACGTCCCCCTACACACACTCACTTCCCCCCACCCATCGTTCAGTGTTGCAATGTGGTAGCTCGAAGCTTCGCTGGATTGTACGAAGAGCGGTTCATTTGAGAGAATATATGCACGATACAGGTTTTGTAGTGACTTCACCGCACTTTATTTACCATCACTATACTTACCATTACTATACAAGAGGGACCGTTCGGTTTGTAGCCCTGACAACGACTTCCCTCGAGCCAGGAGTGGGGGTAGAGGGTGCATCGAAACTATGCCGCGTGAGTGTACACTGTGTACCTGTAATACCCATATACATAATAAATCAACGTGAAATTCCTTGACAGTTTTACCGAATAAATATACCTCTGTCTTTCTATTTATATCTAACTACAAGGTTTTCAAATAATATTACTTAAGTCCGCCCTCTCGTGCTTTATGATGATATAAGAGAATGTAGAATATGCATAATATACTACACTATTATGGCTCATGCTGTGTCAGTCACTTCACCATACAGTACATTAAAGCATTGTGTCTTTGTGATAACACATGAACCCCACATAGAAAAAAAAAAAAAAAAAAAAAAAAAAAAAATATATATATATATATATATATATATATATATATATATATATATATATATATATATATATATATATATATATATATATATATATATATATATATATATATATATATATATATATATATATATATATATATATATATATATATATATATATATATATATATATATATATATATATATATATATTCTATTGTTCTATGTTATTTGTTGCTTAGTTTTATTTGATATCACAAGATCAACGCACAATTGAAAGCAATAAAATAAATTAGTCACTCACTACATACAAACATTTTCTATGATGACGCACAGGCTTTATACACTTTTTTAAAATAGTTATCCAGATAATATTTACCGTTCTCTATGATGTTCCACTTTCTATAAATGACGCGTCAAACGGAGGCTGCCAAGAAAATAATAAGTTTAAGGTTAGTTCAGTATCCTTCCTCTATAACCCTTGATATTTACTGTTGTCTTTGGGAGAATATAGAGCTCGACTCCCACACTTAAACATCTGATAGTGACGTATTGTGGATCAGTCAAGAGTAGTGACACCCTGGAACACCAGATTATTGTCCCAATAACGCATCAAATAATCAAGGTTTTTTGTTTTTTTAATGTAGCAACACTTTACTAACACGAATTAGGAGCCAAAATTATTATTATTATTAGTAGTAGTAGTAGTAATTGTAGTAGTAGATGTCCTTTGGTTATTGTATAACAACACTGACAGTTAAACTGTGGGGTACTGTAGTTTGGTTCACACTCAGGATGGGATGGAGAAAGGAAACTCACAATGTGCTCTCTGTATACATGTTGTATTGAATGTACAATGCAGCTTGGTGCTGGGAAGTGGCAGCGTGGTTACAAGCGTGATGTAGAGAGAGCTGGTTGGTGAGGATGCTCAGAGGAGGACCAGCTTGTGGGTCGCCATGCTCACCGGCGGGAGCGAGGGCCGCCAGGCAGCGGCGGAGGAGGTGGTGTAGCTTGCTGCGGCTGTAGCTAGAGGTCAGGTCTTAAATAGCGGGGGTAGGCGTGGCTTAGTAGTTGACCTCCGTGATGTATGGCGGAGCTGGTTGACCCAGACCACGAGGCATACACTGGGGAATTCGCGGGGTCGGCTATTCAGCGACAAACAGCGTTTGTAGGGGAGAAATCCACTACAATACTAATAACAATTTTAAACACTAATACTAAGCGCATTTTTTTTATTATTATTATTTTCCATTTTACTTCCCTGGACCGGTATATGAGCACCGCGCCAGATATAATCTCTTATATTACTTCTCAGGGTCCGTATTAGAGCACCACAGCAGATATAATGGTCTTAATCCTCTTCGCCACTTGGGTTAGGCAAGGATTCTAATAATAAAGTATTTGAATCCGTGAGTTAGGGCATGATATGTTCGTTGCTTATACCCCTGCCAAATGTATGACTGTGGCCTGTATATTATTAAAAGTCAACTCCAGACGCATATTTCCGAGTCATTTTTGGGCCTCTTTGTAAGCCAGATAAAAACTCGAAAAGTTTTGTTTTTCGTCGCATAGTTTGTGTAAAATTCATTAAAAAGAACAAACAAAATTCCTGAGCAGGACTAAGTGTGGCGACCTCTGAGGACGTGAGAACAATAACAAATGGGACGAGTAGCCTTAATAAGGGATGTTAATGTTATAATGTATAATGTGATTTAATAACTATGGTCTTTAAGCGCGTATTCCAGATTAGTACATCTACTATCCAGTAACATTGAAATTGAGATATCCATCACTCTGGTTATAAGGGAGATTTAAGTTCGTTCAGCATACATTATTCTTACTACCTGTACCTCCGTGATATAAAGAGTAACCACCAGATTTCGCCGACCATTTCTGTCTTGGGGTCTCTTCCATCCTCCTTCTCCATTGTTCTTGACCAGGTAGGACGGTTTTCCTCTTCTCCTGGCTCTCTTACAGCCTCCATCGATTTCTCATTAAAGTTAAGTATAGTCACAGGCAAGAAAGATACAGTAACTAACAACATAGACTTAATGGGAAGTGAATAAAGCATTACCTGTTACCGCCTTCAACATTTCAACGCCAACCATTCATATTTCTAGAAGATGTACAAACAAAGTACCTCACTTGGATTACGCAGTTCAGTTCTCGTTTCCGTACTACAGAATGGATATAGAATCCCTAGAAAGAATTCAGAAGAGAATGACAAGACTAATCCCGGGCATTAGGAACCTTAATACAGAGACAGATTAAAGCATCTTAATTTGCACTTCCTCGAGAGACGTAGAGTGAGGAGCGACATGATCGAAGTGTATAAATGGAAGTCACTGCTAAACAAAGTGATATAACAAAGGTACTAAACTATCCAATCAGGAGCGAACTCGTAACATTGGTTCTAACTAGACAAATTTAGATTTAGGCGCGAAATAAGTAAATATTGGTTTGGAAATAGAGTAGTGGATGAGTGGAGTTGCCAAACATCATTATTAACTCAAATACGCTGGATAGCTTCAAACACAGGTTGGATGGATATATAAGCGATAGGGGTTGGGTGTAAATGGGACTGCCTAGAATGGGCCAATAGGCTCGCTGCAGTTTTCTCCATTATTATGTTCTTATGCATGTGCACATTAGAATTTAAAAAATGCTTCGTCTGTGATAGTTGGATATCAGTTGACTCTAATTTGACGAGCTCCGCATTGCCAGAGGCTCGGATGGCACTTTCAGTACATACTATTCCAAGTCTTAGATGTGTATTTTTCTTCGTCTAGACAGCAGAAACCTGTTATAGTGTAACAACACTGAATAGTCCTTTCAGTTCTAGCTTTGATGCCATTTTATGGTGCTGACAAAGAGGTGTTCATCCCACTGGTGCTGACACACTAGTGTTAATACTGGTATTGACACTGATGTTTACATGTTGGCGTGTTGACACACTGGTGTTGACACATTGATTGAATTGTAACTAATTTTGAATTGTAACAGTTTATTTAGCCAGAAAAATACAGATACAGAGTGGATAATAATAACAATATTAACATGGCTGAGCCAGTTGAGAACCTGAGCTCTCTTTGAGGCACCTGATATATACTATACATTTATCTCAAGGAAGTATTATGTAACATTTAGTATCATCTGGAATAGTACAATAGCATGGTAGTAATAAGTACATCTCATAATGTTACCACGGTTATC